GGCGGTTATCATTAGGCTAGTTAACTGTCTCGATATTTTTATTCAGTATAGTGTTATTTTAACATATTGTAAATATTCGTGAGCTATTAGTCGCGGTTAGCTTGCCCGATAACATTTAATTACGTGTACGATACAGATGCTAGCTTCCAGCGTGTTACCACTGTCAAAAACTTAGGAGTTTATCTCGAAACCAAGTTTAGTTTCGACTATCATAGGGAATATAATTTCTGCTGCCAACTCAAAACTCGGTTTCCTAAAACGTACTCAAAGCAATTTATAGACCCGCTGAGTCTAAAAAGCATCTTTTCAAGCCTTGTTCGATCTCTTCTCGAATAGGCCAGCTTTATTTGGGATTCGGCATTCACAGCACATTCCGATCGATTAGAGTTCAGAGAAGCTTTACAAAATTTGCGCCATCGCACAATCTTCGATGTAAGATCTCAAACCTAGAGATCCTTTCTAGTAGAAGAAAAATTCAAGGCATTATCTTCATTAAGGACGTTATGCATAACAGAATTGATTCACCTGTGTTATTATCGCTTCTGTCCTTTAACGCTCCCGCCCGACCTCAGAGATAAATCTATCTTCTATATTACATATAAAAGAGGAAAAGAGATTATGTCCGTATATTTTATCACAAAATATTCTCAAAAACCATGTATCATGTCAAAAACGATTATAAACAAAACCTTCTATTTACAATTGATAAAGTTGAAAACAAGCGGTCTCAGGCTGGTATTCCAACGTGTGGGAAATAATATGCGTTAAAAAAAATTCTAAAAATACTAGACGAAGAGAAAAAGTTACTAAAATGTGCTCAACGGAAACGGTTTTCAACACAAAAGAAAAAGGAAGCCACATTGCTAAATTAAATGTCGAAAAATACCTAACGGATGATAAAAATATATTCTTATCAGGTCAACGATCAAAAAATCGATTTGCTTTGATTGATACCACTGGTCAATCTGTTTCTTAATCTAAAAATCTAAGAATTTTTTGAAAAAACTGGCTAAATTAGTGGTGAATTCGACTTTGACCTCGAATACCTTTTGACTGAGTAGACTTATCGAAAAATGACTTGCAACCTTTATTGTAGAGCTTTCAATTCCCTAAAAAAATATTCCAAGACTTTTATAGTACAACGCATGATAAAAACATAACAAGGTGATAATAAAATGCTTGCAAACGTGAGAAAAAAATCATCGCCGACGAATTGAAAGAATGAATTTACCTTGTAGTGTTTTTGTCATGATACAACGTATCGTTCGTTAAATATAAAAATCAGAAGTAAAAAAAAATAATTTTTCGTGTTACTCTTATGGGAAATCGAAAAGTGTGATGCGGACGTTCTTAATATAAAGGGCTAAAATTTCCTATTTCCTGCAACTTATTTTGGCGTCTAAATGAAACTTTTGAGCATGATTCCGAGGAGAAAAAAATTTCTGAATCACCCTAATAAATATATGAATGTATATATGTACATACATATGTATGTATGTTATTAAACGCGATCTTCAAAAGTGACACAACTCAAAATTGCACGTTCGTCAGAATATGCGAAAAAATCTTTCTTAGCACAAGCTAATCACATGGATAAGGAAGACTTCACTTAAGGTTTTTCAAAAAAGTATAACCAAAATTTTTCCAGCTTCTGCTGAAAGGTAAATAAAAGCTCTGTGTACATTTTTAGTGCATAATTTAATGCGGAATTTTGAGTTGGTCACTTTTAAAGAATTTATTTTTTGTACTACTTAAAACACCTTCGAACTTGATACAATTTTAAAATAAGTGGCTTATTCCTTAATTTTAAGATACGTTATGTAGCTTTGTACCTTAAAATAAAGTAAAAAGCGAGTTTTATCTTAAAATTTATCAAATATTAACTATTTAAGTTAAGTATGTATCTCCATACATACATAAAAATGTGGGTTAGGCCACCACTGCTCCCACGGCCTCACGCGTATGAATGTTTGTATGTATGTATGTATCGTGCTTACGTTATCGTCAGTTTACAAGTCAAGTAGCACCTAAGGAGTTGTTAAGACGTTTGTTTGAAAAGCGCACCCCTTTCATTCAAGGGTACGTCTATAGCTATC